AGCCTGCGAATACCGATACACTTTGCATGTCCCACAATCCACCCGCTCTTTGTTGGTGCGACTCGGAACCCCTCAACACTTCGCTGCAACCCACCTCGCCCCGCCGCCCCGTCCCGTGCCATGCACATGCGGATGCATGTGCCTCATGTCGTACGGCAGTCTTGGATGATGCACATCGAGTCGGAGACCGAGTCACGTGTCGAGCTGTCATCGGAGCTCGTGTAGGCCAGGTCCGCTAGAAGCAACGGTACGATTCTCAGAAGCCTGAGCTTAGTCCAGCTCTTTCTGCAAACTTGCAGAATACGGTAGACTGCCGCAGAGTGTATAGCACCACTTAAAATCACGCCGTAACAGCCTCGCATGTCGGGCACGGTATTTTGACGTAGAAGTTACTGTGAAGTGGCATTCTGGTCGTGACCTCGCCATGCCAAGGCACTGCTTGCTCATGAAAATTGCGATGCCTGAAGAGAAGCCAAGGCAGAATTCCACAACAGTCTAGAGTATGAGATTTTCGAATCTGGAGTTTTTAGCTTCTCAAACTTTGGGCTTGCGGTCTAATCCAGGGTCCAGCTAGCCGGGCGCGGACAGCAGACCTCGAGACCATCAACAGGCAAGTCCCATTCTGGTCGAGAGCTAGTTCACAGTCCCTTTGAAGTTGAAATCTAGATAATGTACTGGTGCCAACTTGTTCCTTCTTGCAGTGTAACGAAAGCACCAGTAGCAATGTCATCAGCAGTACTGCAAACCAGTAGCAATGTCATCAGCAGTACTGCAAGCGCATTTGCACTGTCATTGTCATTAATTCTGCTTTTCGCTTTGTCGTCACTATCCCTACTGCTATCGTTGTTAGTACATACTACAGCTATAGCTTCGGCATGAATACATACATACTTCAATCCTTTCCTAGTATGACAACCCGTTATCATTGAAACAACCCAACTTATTGATGTGAGGATCTCGCCAGCACAGAAACGCCGCGGCCTGCAACATCGCAAGCTGGGTAGCTAGCAAGGCAAGGACAACCAGCTGAACTTTGCAGATCATGCTACAAGACCAACTCGTCGGAGCTGTAACCCCCTCCTGTCTTAAAGTGCTACGTCCTTTTTTGGCCGTCCAGCCCCCCCCCTGGGTTTTGGCGATGAACTGATGAAAACAACACTTATTGGATTTCGCATGCTTCTCAGACAGATGGGCAACCTGTCGCGCTGCGCTCAAAGCTAAAACCCAATTGTGCATGCTGACTTGCCTGCTTACTGACATCCCCCTACGACTGCTGCGACTACAACTGGGACCAGGACTAGGACTAGGACTACGACGAAGACGACGACGTAAGACGACGACTGCTACTTGCCACTCTGCTTCTACTCCTGCCTCTTCATCTACTGCCACTCCTGGTGCTATTGTGCGTGCTATTGCGGCCACTAAGACGACGAGCCAGACTACTGCTGCTCTGCTGCAGCTGCTGGTTCCCGCTGGTTCCTGCTGCTGCTGCTGCTGCTGCTGCTGCTGCTGCTGCTGCTGCTGCTACTGCCACTGCTACTGCTTCTGCTACCCTATTACTGGTATTATTATTATTACTACTA